CAGGATTACGCGCCATTACAGTGCCAAGCTACAAACAACCAAGCAAACTCTCACAACTTCAAAACACTCAGTTGAATTTACTAACAGTGACTTTCCTTGTCATTTTAAAGTGAACAGAGATAAACTTGTGTTGACTAATCGTCGATGGACGTGTAAAAAAGGCAAAAGATTGACAACTACCGCCAGCTTTTAGGAGCGGAATTTAGGCTGCGAAGAAAAAATTCCGGCCCGTGGGCCGTATTGTAAAAAGTTGGACAGGTCACGTGCATATGATTAGCAGATCAAATTCAAGGATTTAGGAATCCGGCCCACTCAGATGCTAGAGCAAAAAATAAAATGTTGAACGACTGTGTTGCCGCTGCAGGAAATGCCTGTCTTGAAACTTGAACTGGTGAGAAAAGTTCACGTGACAGTAAATTTGGTTCAATTAATTTGTTTATGTCCTCCTGAAGAATACACTTCTCAGCCAACAGAAGTTTTTGTGGTGGAGGGAAAAAAGAGTTAACATCTTCTTTCTGAAGGTACTTCAAGGACTAAATTCAAGCCACTTCAAATACTCCTTAGCCACTGGTAGACTTCAAAAGGTATTTCAAATAACTAGTCAAGTGATGAACTAAGAACAGATAAACACCTGATATATGTTAACATGAGTAAACAAGCCAATCAGAATTTACTGTAGGCTGTCTCATTTGGATGCACTCAACAGGCTTCTAAGGGACATATTAAGTAAATTTCCCAGCCCTCCCCTCCCCGCCTCAAAAAAAAAAAATGGTCCGTCCCTAGATGGGTAATCCAATTGATAAAATTGATAATCGATGACCAGTGAAGATTTGTGTGGTTATCAATTGGTATCGATTTTCGATAACAATTGATAGATAAACTGATGCTCATTGGCATCCATTGGTTGTAGACTGACAGAATCGGAGCATAAATATCACATCTTTGTACGTAGTAATTGTAAACACATTTCATTTCAATGCTTTAAACATTAACAGGAGAACAATACCCTGACTCTTCTTTCTCTTCAATGCCCCATCCACAGGTATCCATTTTCCTTTAACAACTCAACATTTTGTTCCCGTTCTTGCCTCCCGTCCACATGTATCCCATGAAAACGTTAACCAAAAACAAAACAATTGAAGTTGGAAAATGTTATTCAAATTGGAAAAACTATTTAATGTGGGCAGACATGGCCCAATACTACAGACTTGAAAAAACGGAAAGTGGTTGCATTGTGCCTTCAAAGAAAAAATTCTAGTAACAGAAGTTCTACTTTAGCAAACAATGAAATTGCCAACAACAGCAGTATGAGTTGAGCTTCTTGGCTCTCAATAGAACCTGAACTAACTATGAGTCTGAATTTCAAAGAAAAAACAAAAAAGTCCAGAATATACTTAAAAACTGGCAGTATCGAAGATTAAGCCTACTTGGAAAAATAACTATATTAAAAAGCCTAGTCACCTCCCAGCTAGTTAATGTCTTTTCTCCTCTTCAAACAAGCCACAAAGCTATCAAAGAATTGAACGAAGCTTTCTATCATTTGCTATGGGAAGGGAAACCTGATAAGATTAAAAGAAACATTATAATTAACAAGTACAGTGATGACAGGCTTAAAATGATTGATCCTTTTTCATTCAATAAATCTTTAAAAACTATCTGGATCAAGAAATATCTTCATAAAACAAACACGGGAAAGTGGAAACTCTTCTTTGACCTAGAACTTGGCAGATACGGTGGGGAAGCTGTTTTTTGGGGTAACCTAGACAAAACAGATACTAAAAAACTTATATGTGTGGTTTTCCGTTGGCTGAGGAACAAAAGAAGCGGAAAACATTTTTCTCACACACAGCTGGGAGTCTGGGTACAGGTGTGCAGGGGGTTTCAGGTCACGTGGCTTGTGTAAGGTTTCCGTTTTTGTTTTGCCATCCGCAATTGCCTGACATGCCCCACCCAGCCACCCATAAAGTACTTGTAGAATATGTTAAGTTGAGGTGAAGTTATTCTCTAGCCACTTTCTGTGTCATTGTAAGACAATTACGTTCTAAGTTATGTTAAGTTATGTTATTGTATCTCCCAGCAGCGTGTGAGAAATTCATTTATGAAATACTGCTGATTTGGGTCGAGATAAATGTTGTTAATTTCGAACTAAATGATATTCTCTCGTTATTTTCTTGTAACAGAGTTATGTGTCTTTACAAGAGTGAAACTCATGTAGCGAATTATTGTACATTTAAGCTGAAAGAAACTAATGTGTGTTGACCCCAGCAAAACAATTCTTGGCTTGCACTGTCATGCAATCCTGACACAATAAAAAAATTTATCCGAAAACCATTTATTGGATAAAATCAAGAAATTGTGATGTTATAGGAGATTAATAAAGATGACACTCCTCTAACTTTTAAGTGTGTGCATTTTCCCAAGCTCAGATATTCGTCGAAATATTTTGCACAAATTTACAGAGACCAGTATGGAGCCGCCATGTTGGTGTACCTCCGTGGTACGCAAACATTGCAGCCGGAAAATAGTGTAAACATCTGGAACTTACTTCGGCTATCTAGGCGACTGATTATCAGTACTGAACAAACAAGCATTTAATACATATTAAGCACTTTTCCCAATACTTTAACTTCTGAACTGGCTAAAAATCCCGAGATAAGTATATGATTACGACAAACGCGTTCGTAGGTCTATGTCACGCACTGCCATAACTATGAAATTCAAAATGTCTCGCTTGCTTGAGAAACGCAAATAACAATGACAAAGGCTGAGGAAAATAGACTGAAACGTTTATATTAGGCTGATTTAAAGACCTTGATTCATTTCACATCCGAAAGACCTGCAAACGAGTAATAAGCTATTAAGAGTAAATGTCAGTAAAAATCAAAGATTATCGAAAAAATCGC